CCCATGCCAGTCCATCTCATTTCTCCAATGCCTAGTCTGTCAATATTTATGCGTTCCATTTCTTTCTTAACAATTTCTAATTTTCCTACATTCATGGTTCTCACATAAGCAGACACTAGTGATTGGAACATAGAATGTGAGATGAGGAGGTTAGAGACAAAAATTCCCCTCATGCACTCCACACTAGAAGCATCCAGAAAACTTCTCACAACCACCAGTTCCTTGGCTTGTTGTGCCTTTCAGTCTACTATTACTCATAATGACCATATGAACAACAGATTTCTGATATACCTGAGCCTGTTGTTACAGTCACTGTCTCAGTCCATGTTGTGGAAAGTCTTCCTCTCTTAACCTGACCTTTCAGAGCACGTTGTCTCTCTCCAAGGACTGTCCTTCTAACAACACACCCAAAGTAAGTGAGACAAAGTTTCACCATCCTTGTGTCCAAAAATCATTGTAGTTTCACTTTCTCCAAGACAGACCTGTAAACTTTCTCCAAGATAAACAATGACTAAATATCATGAGATATTTGGTACTCTTCTCCAGTTTAGTTTCTTCGGTTGGTAGGGCCTAATCTCATGGTCACATGGTATGGGAACAAGATGCTCTATATAGGAAAGGCCATAATGGGGCTAAAGTTAGTTAGATTCAGCCCCATTAGGAGCTGGAGGAGGTGGAAGGAACAATTTTGGTGGGGACTGGGGCAGGGGGCCACAGTGCCATAGCATTATGAGAACCAAACTTTTGCTTTTACAGCTGAAGAAACTTAAGCATGCCACTACTTAGTAGTAGAACCAAGAAAAGATCGTGTTTTCTTTGTAAAATTTAATTACTGAGCATGAATGAGTCACTAACTTGTTGTCTTCGGGCCAAATTAACTCATAACTGACCCTTCAGTGACTTTCCGGTGACAATAAATCTTACTGGAGGAGATTGCCCATCTTTCTATTTTGGAGGTTCCAGTGCTTTCTGAACACTGGAGAGACATGGCCTTTGTGTTTTCAGCCACATCTCTACAGACTTTGCCACCAGAACTCTCATATTAATGGATACTTTGTTAAAATAAAATAAAGAGATTTATTTCAGAGGCAGAATGGTACCTAGGAATGTCTCAAATGCATATGTTGTTACTTGTTGTGTTCAAGAGATTTATTGAAGGTTCAAAATATTTGACAGATAATTTAAAAATTATCGGACAGATCTGACCTCAGAAAGTGAAATCTAGGCCCTCAAGTGGTGGAGTACCAGGCATATATATGAAGTAAAACCAATAATTGACGATAAAAAAGAGAACTCTAGTGAGGCCTAGAGAGTAGTTGCACTGCCAACTCAAAGGTCAAATCCACCAGCTGTTTTTCAAGAGAAAGTTCTGGCAGTCTCTTTGCAATTTACAGCCTCTAAATACCTGCTGGAGGATTTGTAAGGACTAGTTTAGGAATTAATTATTTTATTGAAAAGTAAAACATTATGATCAGAAGTTACACGATCTGAAAAGCTGGAGGTTTTACTAAAAGTGGGAGGAGGTTTACCAGGGTTCCTAAAATATTTCCTGAGAGCTGCTGAGGGAACTTCTGATAAACATCTTATGTTTTTCCATATTTTTTTTTTGAACACTGTTCATTTATGAAGTTCTTAAATCTTTCTAAGGGTTTGATGATTGCAAGGGAAATGAGCAACAACTTATTTAGGCTAGCCTCCTAGCCTAGACTCCTTGACCTCTGATTGACTGGGCTTGGATCTGGATAGCAAGGGAGATTG